AATTTTTCAGCAACAAAATCATCATCTGAACTATCTTCAGAATATTCACAAGAGGGCAAATATTCATCATCACTTTTAGCAGTAAATGCAAATTGACCTGTAACTAAATTTTGATTTTGTTTATTATTTCTATTTTTTGCAGCAGTTGATTTAGAAGATTTTCGAGGCATTTTTTAATTGCAATTAATAAATAACAAATATTTACAAATGTATATTAAGAGGGATGAAATTTCTTTGTAATGTTATAATTGAAGATTGATTGTTGGAGAAATGATTCAATTCAAAAATATCTTGTATTTATAGTTTAAAATCAACCATTTGAATAATTATCAAGTATAGAATATTGCTATTCTTGAAAAACAATAAATCATTGATCCTCTTGTAAACTATTTATCATTATACAATTAAATTAATTGGCCTAAAAAAGTGTTTACAGCATTTTTTATTATGGTATCAAGACTTGATAACATGGTTAATTACCAATTGAAATTTTTTTTGGTCTGATTTTTAAAGATTATAAGTTCATTTGAATACTATAATTGTCAAACTTTTCTTTTAAATTATCCACTAATTTTGATTTTAAATATAAGAAATTAACAAATATACATTATAAGAAATAAATAAATTATTAATACATATTAAGAAATAAATTATTAACAAATAAATGTATATAAGAAATAAATAAAATGAACATAATTGATAAATCTATTTTATTTTATTACATAGAAAATATATGCCAAAAATGTCAATGGCTTATTTGAATTACACAAGGCTTGCAATGGCTTGTTATACCAAAAACATCAATGGTTTGGCTTGTTAAATCAATTGATTCAATTGTTTCCCCTATTTCATGAGTTATTTTTGTCATTTCTATTTATAACTTTCCTATAAATAAATATGTAATATTTTATAAATATTGGCATTGTATATATACATAATAAATTATTTAAGAGGAGCTTATATACATACAAAATTGGTTATACCAGGATAAAATCATTATATTTTAAGAACCATTACCTTTTTGATCAATCAATGAAGGAGAATCTTAAGCAAACAATAAACCATTACTTTTTCAATTAATAAAACTCACTTTTACGATTAATTAATGAATGAGAAGGATCTTAGCAAACAAAACCATTGCCTTTTTGACGTGGCTCACATCAACCCTTTTAAAACTTGTTTATTTTGTAATGGAATCATGAGTGCAATGTCAAATGCGGAATAATCCGAATGCAGAATAATTTACTTCTACATTGATTGGCCAACTGTATCATTGGTATGTATAAATTTTTAAATCAAGTATTTTAGTAAATATACCTTTCTGATAGGGTTTATAATGAAACAAATAAATGAATAATTTGAATAAGAATTTATATTATGAATAGAAACTCTATTTCCAGAAATTGAGAGACTTATATTAGGAATTTTCTTTATCAATCATGGACAGTGTTGAATTTTCAGAATGGATTGCAACGATCCTTGGATCTTCTATATGTAACCATTAGTTATTTCTACATTAGAATACAATTTAGGTTTCTACCTTGTCGTGGAATTTTAAATCATTCAAGAATTCCAGAAATTGAGAGACTTCTAATAGGAATTTTCTTTATCAATCGTGGACAGTGTTGAATTTTCAGAATGAATTGTGACGATCCTTGGATATTCTATATG